AGTTGGCGTAAAACGAAATCGGCATTTGACAGCATCCCAATTAGTCTGTGTTCCAATTGAACTGAGTTCATTTTTTATACACACTGGAGACTGCTACATGGGAATGTAGTGTGTAGACCTACTATATGGTACTGTATCTGTTCCCATATATTAAGTACGAACGATACATTAATACAAAATCCTAAATAAAAGAGACGGATGTGAAAAGTGTATTATGACATATAAGCAATATTTTGTTAAGAAGCAAAACATTGAATATTTTATGTTCTGATTATTTACGGTTCCAAGAAGCTTTCATACTCAACGTGAAAACTCAGTCACAATATAATAATAATAAGAAAGTCATTGTTCACTTTCTTGTTACATTTTCTTCCATTGTATCTATGTGTTACTTCGAGGGAGATGGAGATAAGTAGCTTTTAATTAACAAACTTGCTTTAAGATTTAACTTGCAATAACTTTACACATTTACTAACAGTTATTGCTCTTGTTATAGTTGTTTTTGAAATTCCGAATCATCTTGTATTTAAGGGCACAATCGTACCAAACTTGATTATTTTCGAGCCAAATAATGTTAATAATATATTACTTAACAATTTAAAACAACATTTGAGGAGAAATAAGTATTGAGAATAAATTTGTAAGTGAAGAGTTTTTTTGTCATCATAAGTAAATTAATTAAGCACAATAATTGTCATCTGAGGTGTTATTTCACAGAATCTCATAGTACCCCAATATAGTTTCACAATGTTTTGGTTTCATAGCACCGAATCATTATTTTGTGTGGATTTTAAAATCTAATAGCTCTGAAAGGGACTTTTTCATTCGAAATAAATTATTTTGAAGTTCCAAAGGACGAAAAATAGCCGAAGTTACTCACAGTACCGGATTAACAAATAATCCTCGCAGCTCTGACGGAAAAACAAATCCTATATCACTCAAAACAATATCGTAGAATTATTTCGGTAGTGTAGGACGTATTAAAAATACATTCGGTGCTGCGAGACATTTTTACAAATACAATCGCATAGTCTCGAATCAATATTATTTCCAGAACTGCTCTGGATATAATTATAGAGGTTATTATAGATGTATAACTCGCCTTTGGCTCGCTGGGGGCTCCGCCCCCAGGCCCCCTTTTTTGGTAGGGGGTAAACAGAAATGGGCCATGGCGCAAGACCTGCAATTGAGCCAAATTTCAGATCTTTAGCTTTTTTAGAAGTGGGTAAAATTAATTTAGACCGATGGACCTGTAGGAATAACATTGGGGGGGGATTCTATATTTCGTGGGGGAGGGAGTTATATTTGTAAAATGTCACTTTTCAGAAAGGGCGCAAGATCTACAATCATTCAAAATTTCAGATATCCAGTTAATCTAGAAATGTGTAAACGTTATTTAGACTTATGCACCTGTAAGAATAACATTGGGGGGATTTAATATTTGGGGGGGGGGGGGTGTAAATACGATAGGGAGATAAAACCTTAAGTAAACCAGAGTAAATCTATAGCATAAACGGACCATGGGAACGGGGACTTATGGTGGTTTTTATGGGGTAAATGTTTTCTCCATAAGAATAACATGGGGCTCGTAAAAACTTTCAAATGTTGACATTAAACCTAAGTTTTGGGGGTTAAGGAGTAAAGTTACGAAAAAACACGTATCGTGTAAAATTTAAACTAAAGTAAGGAGAATACAAAGCAATAATAATATTTGCAAAAAGGAATGATTTAAGTATGAAAAAATAGCGAAAACCTGTAAAAAGTTGAAAGAAATTTACCAAATTTTGAAAGTAGGGAGTTTTTTGAACCCGAAAGAGTGCGATTTTCGGAAAACACATTCGAGGGTTTTGTAGAAAATTTAATTCCTGTTCCTGGATATACTTTAAAATCTTTTCTAGCTCTTACTGTTTTCGAGCTAAATCCGTTTGAAAAAAAACGTGTTTTATCGTTTTCAGAGGTCCGCCATTTTGGATTTTTGGGGGGGTTAAAATTTGAAAAAAGGACTTTTGAAAATTTCACCATTAGCTTATGATCCCTTACTACAATACTACCAAATTACAAGTCTCTAGCACATTTCTAAACGATTCATATGACCATACCAAAGTCATTATATTTCAATCTTATTCTCCATAAGAATAACACGGGGCTCGTAAAAGTGGCAAAAAACCTTCAAATTTTGAGATTAAAATTAAGTTTTGGGGGTCAAGGAGTAAAGTTACGAAAAAACATGTAAAGAGTAAAATTTAAAGTAAAACAAGGAGAATACAAAGCAATAATAGTTTTTGAAAAAAAAATATTTCAGTATGAAAACATGGCGAAAACCGGTAAAAATGTAATAAAAATTTACCAAATTTTGAAAGTAGGGCGTTTTTTGAAGCTGAAGGAGTGCGATTTTCGGAAAACGCCTAGGAGGGTTTTGTAGAAAATGTAATTCCTGTTCCTGGATATACTTTCAAATCTTTTCTAGCTCTTACCGTTTTCGAGCTACATCCGGTTGAAAAAAAGTGTTTTTTTTCGTTTTCAGAGGTCCACCATTTTGGATTTTTTAGGGGGTTAAAATTTGAAAATGGGACTTTTGCAAACTCCACCGGTAATATAAGATCTCATACTACAATACTACGCAAATTTGAAGTCTCTAGCACGTTTCTAAGCGGTTCATATGAGAGTACCAAATTCGGTATTTTTCAATGTTATTTCCCATAAGAATAACATGGGGGGGGAAATTCGAAATTTCGGGGGGGTTAAAATTTGAAAATGCGACTTTTCGGATTTTTCCCGGGGGTTTGGGCACTAGACCTACGACCACCGAAAATTTCAAGTCTCTAGCTCATCTAGAAGTGGTCTAGAATTTGTATCCCTCAGTTACACATCCGGCTGTATAGTATTTAGAGTATATTTAATTAAAACGAAAGATATAATTATAGAGGTAACAAATGATTGCATCTCTGGAGGCCTGTTCAGAGCTTAACTGGAGATAGATTACACCTTAAATCCTCACGGGTGAGTGCATCTCTTGTACGTCTTTCATCAATTACTCAATTCTTACAATCACGAAATCCCTTCCAAAACGGTAATGGTTGTCAATTATTGCAAAACAGTTATTGAAAGATTGAGAGAAAAATATGAGTATGATGGCAAATAAATTAGCTGAATGTTATTGTTAAGAACCTTTGTCGGTGTTTTAGATTTTAAAACACGATCGTTGACACACGTAGTTTTTTCCGGTGTTGAAACATTAGACAAACAATGTATTTGTGCATATTTTTTTGCGGGGTAGGTGTGAGATCAAAATAATGTTCAATCGGTTCCTAGAAAGATGCACGTAAGGTACTGCTACTCTTAAAGTTATCGGATAGTGATATTACATATGTTTTAATAAAAACAAATGCGCTTGGAGGAAAACTCTGTGGTGTCACCGACAAGGGTTTTGAAATGGTGAAAATACGGGGAAATGAGATACAGTACTAATATGCTTGTTCATAAAAACGTTGTCTTTAAACTAAACGTAAACACAATTAAATCATAGTAAATTGAATTTACTAGTAGTAATGGGCGCTATTTAGTACATGGAATTTCGTGAAAAACTGTAAAATGTTTGTTCAAATAGCCGGTATGCAGGGCAAGAATATAAATAAAGTGTCGTATTCATTAAACATGAAGCCCATTGAATAACAAGATTGCGTATGAAATATGTTTGATTATTAGCTTAACAATAAACTACCGATTGACGATAATACTATTAATTTATTTAGCTATAAGTGGTTATATAACTTGTTTAGCAATGACATGGTCGCTGGTTCGATCCTAAGAAAAGCTTTGTGATAGTTATAAACTGAAACCAGGTGTTCTTAATTAATGAACCTTTAGTAAATGGCCCTGGCTAAAGAAACACCTGGTCTTAGTAAGTAACCCAGATAATCTCACAAAATCTTACACAGTTTGCGTTCACATTCGGTTTGAAATACGGACAGTTAGTTTTTCCATCTAAGAGAATTGTGTAATTGATTATTTTTTACGTTTTAGAGAAATATATATTGTCGAATTTGCCAGTTACTGAAATCAGCTGTCCTTAGTCATTGGGCTTTGTAATAAACAATTTTGCCAAAGAAACAAACAGTTTTTGTGTCACTGTTATTAACAACTAGTTTGGTTATTTCAACAAATCGCTAAAAAGCCTAACATGTTTTAGTTATTATCATGTTTTGGTAACGTTAGTGGCGGGGGGAGTGATACGCTAAAGAGATAATTCTAACAAGAATATTGATTATGTGATATGTTTGCGCTCGTATCAGCAAACATCCTTATCATCCCAGGTTAACCATCAACCGTCTGCAGCCAGCATGTAATAACTATAATGTCAAGGTTGTAATGTGTTTCTAAAGTTTCTTGCCACTGAAATCAGGGAGAACTCTATATTTCATAGCTATTCTATGTTTAAACCCCCATATAATGATGTGCTACTTAATTTTATTTTTAAAATGTAACAGCTTCCCCCTAAAATACTCCGTTTTTGTAAAACTGTTATTTTGTTAAAAAGTGAAGTATTATTATTGTTGAACAAGTGGTAAAAGGTGTGTAGCTCTTACCATTGATATTGAGGTCCCATCTATGGACCAGCTGTTGCAATTTTTTATAAGAAAAAAGAACACAGTTGTCCGTGTTTATTCCTCTAGTTATTTTTATTCTTTTCAAGTAGTTTCAACCAGTAAATTATTAATCTTAACAAACTCAAATTTTCTGATAATGTTACATAGTGTTAATTTAAGCAGGTTTTCATTTGATAACTAACTTTCAGATTTCTAATACCAACTAAATTGTATTATTTATTTAATTATAACAAAACAGTAAAATTTACCCACAGTCTAATGTTGGCAATTTAATCTTTACAGAAACTTTTTTCGCTTGTGAAACATACAAGTTTGAAAGTAACAACGAGAATACAAGTGATGCTACAAGGACACAAGGGACATAACGACCCATCCTTCAACCACTTACAACAGTGTACTGAGCTAACAGGTTGTTTACCTCATTACATAGAGTACAGCATACAAATACCAGCCAAACTACTTACTCTATGGAATTGTATTTTATTATGTGTAAACATGTACAGTAGTACACTTGTTTATGTTAGCAAGTAAAATGCGTTTAAATAGCTTCCTTAACTTACGAAAAAATATAATGGTGATTGATTAAAGCTGGTAAAAAACCTTTAGCTGATTGATTTAGATAATGTATGAGGATTAGGACCATAATAGAAATATGTTGCAAGATTACACCGATTACACTGATTCTTTTGACTTGTATAAAATACTTGTAATTTATTAAGACGAGTCGGACGAAGTGGGAACTTATTAGCTACGTTATTATAATCTAAAATAATGTTTTGTTTGAGAACTCTCTCTTTTATTTGTTTATTATATTTATTTCATGCTGCAATTTGCAATTTACTTAATGGATTTTGAGATGAAGAATATAATTTAACTCAATATAGGTAAAATAATAATAATTTAAATAGGTATCATTTTCGTATTGGGTAAACTATGTTATTTTGACGAATTAAGAACTAAGCTATGGTTGTTAGTTTTTAAAAACACATTTCACTTAAGGTAATTCTCCAATACTATGGGGATTTTCCTTGGATTATCTTATAGACGGACAAATAACAATTCTTAACCTAAAAATAAAGTTTGGATCTAAAATCCCGAGTTACGTCGATTCAGCACTGCTAAAAACCAACGCATTTAGGATAGAAGTTCTGCGTTCCATGAAGAGGTGGCCCTTGTTTTATGTTAGTTTGTGAGATTATAAAACTGATCTAATGTTAAAGTCCGGGGTTTAGTCCCCAAAGGCCGACATACCGCCAATGGCTCTAAGAGTTGATTCTATAAACAAATATGATTCCACCCTCTAGGCCTGACCTGAAGTAACCTGGGGTAGAGCCTGATGTCTTAGGATGTAAGTTGGACATTCACTTTGCCTTTATCTATACATTTAACTCAAAGATATTCTATGAATAAATGTATTCAATTAATTAGAAACCTTCTTATCAGTACATTACAAAATAAATTAAAGTAAACCTAACAAATGAAGTAATTAAACTTGAAACCAAAAAGGAAACGATATTTCCAATTGAGTGGTTAAGTTAACGAAGTTAACATTTTCAGCCGAGATGTATGCAGTTGAAGTAAAATTGTGAAAGCTCTCTTTAATGTCAAAGAGAGCGTAGCATGTCTCGCGGTAAAACGTTCTTGAATACTTTCTAAATACTCTTGCTTCAATTCCCTTGTGTTCCACTATAATATCCAACGTTTGAGTTCCAGCTAGAAAACAAGCTTCTGGTTTCTGTTGAAAAAATACATGATGTCTCAATGCAATTTTGTACATCTTTTTAAAACTTTATTAATTGAAAACTAATGCATTAGTATGTTTTGATTTTCTTTTTTAAATTTTAGCTCAAAAACGATAATTCTTATTTTAGCGAATTTCCCATATAGGGAATATAGGGCTATTACCGTAGTACTCATGGTAAGACCTGGACCCGAGACCGATCTAATTTTTCATTTTGAGGTCTCTAGAGGCCAAAAACACCATCCGTTCAAATTCATATATATATATATATATACCGTATCTATATAATTAATACGCTACATGAAACTTTGTCGGTTGAACTCCTCCGCCATTTCTTAACCGATTTTATCCATTGACGTCTCATTGGAAAGAGCGTGTCGCGTAGATTTGCAAACTGACCTTACATTTTTGAAAAAGTCCCTTGGGCTCCGCCCCAGTGGCTTTAAAAGTTCCCATGTTATCCTTATGGAGAATGTAATTGTTTACATTTGGATCAGCTGTATAATTTAATTGCTGTTATTTATTCTTCAATCAATGAAACGCATTGGGTACATTTACTGATTTTGTTGAAATTAAATATTTACTATTTTGATTTACGTTCGTACATATTACAATGTAAAAAATCGAGAATGGGCAATTGACATTGTAATGTATTACTTGAGCAATCATTGAAAGAACCGATTTGTTTACCACGAAAACTACTGTACTATTTTGTAGGAAACATGGACTTAACATTATGATAATTGGCAAAGGAAACCCCTCTAAGGCTGATTTAAACTGGTAAGGCAAGGACATTAAATACAAGTTTTCATGAAGGTCAAGTGATTTAAAAAAAAATATGATTACATCCAAGAAACCTTAGTAAAACTTTAATTGAAGGATTCGCATTATTCACATTTAAGGGAAACAACAAACCACCTGAACAACATTAGGCCTTTCAATTTTGCATTTTTCCAGGTAAATATGTTTACGTTATAACAATAACTAGCCAAATTAATTCCAATTGAAGAAAATACAATTATGTCAGAGAGGTTATGCAGAGAATCAGGTAGTTCGTAAGTAATGTAAACATAATGTTATCGCTATAAAAAAAGACTGAAATTTGTAAACGTACTGGCGACAATGGGTGGTACCATGCAGACTACATTATCATTGCCTAAGATCAACATTGACAAGCTAATGCGGCTATAAGTGGGAAACATTTCTAGATTACACTAAAAAACCAGATCAGCTTTTGAAAAATAATAAAATATTTACAAGAAATGTTGATTATGTAGATTTGTCAAGCACATAATCTATTCGCTGAGTCGTTTAAATTCATTGGAAATTATGATTTTTATTCGTTTTTATTTAAGTTATTTGTTTTTCAATAACTGCTTTACTTATTTGCAATTGCTCGATTTCGAGCAACATGTACACTAGTAAATATATGTGTCCGTTAGCGCGATAACTCGAGCAAAAATGATCCGATTTTGATGAAATTTGGTACAAACGTGTAAACCTACGTTTATTCGAACGAGTTCGCGATCCAGCTTAATCGGACCATGGGAACGGGGGATTATGGTGGGTTTTATGGGGTAAAAATGGGTTTTTCCTATTTTTGAACCTAAAAACAAAAAAAATGCGATTTTTTTCTAAAACATTTTGTAGAGCTTAAAAAAAGAAATAATTTAGTATATTGAAGCGCTGTTGTATGCCTAACGGTCACGGAGAAAATTCAAAAATAGTGTAATTAAAAATTCCCATGTTATTCTTATGGATAAAATTAAAATTGGTGTAGTTTACTTGTTTATGGGTATATATTGATAAAATTTGGCAAATTTATTTATTTCATCCTATACTATTGATGTATGGTCAAAAACACTTTTTACCTTCCCCGTAGCAGCAAACCTAAGCACTTGTTAAACCTAATGTTATTTAAATAGGGAATAATATGTCTTATTTATGGAAATATTTTAGTAAAAATGTAATCAGACAAGTTGAAATTCGCTAAGTCTGCAGGTTTGCTGCGGCGGGGGTATTTTATATTTTTGGTTTATTTCTAATTTTAAATAAAAATGAAAAAAAAAACAAATCCACATATATTTCGATGGTATTATATTGTTTATTTTTGTTTTCCGATACTTACATTTTTGCAACAGTTTTTCCAAGTAAATAGATTATGGCTATTTCTATTTGTAAAGTAGTTTTTAAATACATTTTACTATATCAATATAGTTTATGTCCATTTAATTCTTACCTAGCATCGCAAATCTAGAAATGCCTGGCCTAACATTTCTTTCGTCGTCAATAGACATGTTATAGGTTTCTGGAACATAGTGTGTAAAATTCAAAAAGTTATGACTCTGAATCCAGCAGCTTTTATTAATAGGGCCCAATCTTAACCACCCATTGATAGATGGATTTCGCAATTTGAAAATTGATGGTACAGTATAGTATATTATTTATCTTGCCACATACCGAAATTGTTATATCATGAATCTAATGTTATATAACTGTGAACTTTGATCCTTGACACAAGTTATTTACCTCAGTTTTTCTGAAGAAATATTAAGTTATTTCATTTCAAATAATGTGAAAATATTAATAAAAAAGAAAACTTAAATCCTATTGTCAATAGTTATGTTGCTTTGCCAGCTTGCATTTGAGTATGCTGATACTAACTATAAAAAATAGATGTTTATTTGTATAGTACTGGGGGACCGAGCCTTGCTTGGTTGTGGTTTATTGGGTTCATTTTAAATTCTATTTTATATAAAATAAATATAACATTTTGGAGTATTCTTTTCACCGCTAAACTAATGTTTGCTAACAACATATTGCCTCAGTACTTAGGGGATTCAGTTTTTGTGGGAGAGGGCTAAGTAAAATAATCATTATTTGAAACTATTTCCCCTGTATCGAGTAATCATCACTAATCATTGCTCAGTAGTTACAACTGATGTTTTCCCTTTGTACTGTATTTTGTAATATGCTAGTACTGTAATGGCTTGTTATGAACACATGTTACTACAAGTCTTTTGTTTACTTTTTCCTTGTTATTTTGTTCTACCAACATAGTTACTTCCATAAGGCCAATGTTAAAACTTTTTATTTTTCATTTTAATTGTGCAGCGAAATACGAATTTTCCTGAGGTAGTAGCTGTCACCGATCACGTTTTAAGGCTATAAGTCCATAATTCCACAATTTAGTCAAAATCCTTTCACTCCTTACAGACAGACAAACAGACATAGCTCGTATTAGGGGATAGGATTTTACAAATTTGTACTTTATACTTTTAAACGTTCGATTAACAATAGATCAACATGACAACGCATTCATCATACTCCGAAAGAATAGAAACTTTAAATTGTCTTTAGCTACTCCAAAAGGGTGATAAATGTATAAAGAGTGTGTTTATTTGTGATTTCAGTTCTTCCTTCGAGATTTAGAGAACTTTGGGTTTAGGGGCCATGAGAGATTTTGCTTCAAAGTAAACACCGTCACAAGTTTTTATCGGCAAAAGTCCATGTTTGCTCCATATACGGGGTAAACACTTTCCTACTTCAGAGGGTAAGTGATATATTTCTGTACGATCTTTCAAGGGTATTGGAGGCTACATTTAGTAATCTATTGTGTATATTCTGTCAGTTATGCTTTCGTGTTTATGTTTTCATGTTGCATGTTCATGTTTTCATGTTTTATGAGCATTCTTGTTTCATGTTCATAAGTTTTTTTGAAAGCCTTAAATTGCATGATTTACTTAACTTCTTTCACCTTGCCTTGTATTTAATCAAATAAGAAACAAACAATATAGTTATTCTACTTACGATCTCCATCTATAAATAAATATAACCTTAAAAAATATTATAAAATCATCACTTATTGGGCCTAAGCTATAATATCAATATACAATATAGTTTCTTACGAAAACCACGAAAAGACATATAATATTAATTTCCATAAAACATATCCTACATCCATCGAAAGTAATTATCACTTAAACAAATTTCATCCTTACATTATTTATAAAAAAATCCCTCCACAAATATCACTCATTGAAATGTAAATAAAAACATCACCTCCTTTAGTACCCATTGACAAATGTAACCACTTATATGCATAGAAAATATCACCTCTTACAGTATCCTTCCAAAACATAATCGTTTTGAAATATCCATATAAAACAATGCCTATTTAAACATCCAATGAACGATATTACCATATTCCAATCATTCACTCTGAATTAAAAAGGATAATGAGCAGTCATTATTAAGTAAACAAACAATGAACATACGTAGCAACCTTGAACTGAGACGTTGAAATAGAGCGAAACATTGCGTTGTTTAACAAACAACAGTGATGCTGTAAACAGCTGTAGGTTTGATTTGGAATGATCTCTGTGAATGAATCACGCTGCATTCAACTGCATTGTAAATATTATCATGCGGAGTTTGCTAAACGTAAACAATTAGTGGTGAATTTCCAACCACCCAGGAAACTTACTGTTCAAAATCTTATTGATCTATTAATGAGGCATCGTAGGAGTTTAGTTGCTGAAGTGGAATTATTAAAAGAGAAAGATATGTCATTTAAAGTCGTCAGAATAATATTTTTTCGAGTACATTTAATAAACCATCGCCATCTAAAGCTGCAGCACAAAAATAACTTTTATAAAATCTCTTGACACTTTTCAATTACCTCGACCCTCCTAGATTGTCATCCAGGTAACGAATTATCACGCTTTTAAGCTATCATAAGTTATATTACACAACTGGATCTTTCTTGCTATAATTTACTAGTAAATAACAAAATAAACATAAATTAAACTGAAAAACAATTTCGGTCGGTTAAGCTATAATATCATTTTTTTCATATTTAAATAACTAATCAATGTAGATTCGTAATTTAATATTCTGCGTCTATTGTTATTCGTTTCAAGGGAAAACTAAAGCTTTTATTCTGAACAGTTCAGTTTCCATTTTTTTTAAACGTTTTATAATGTTAATAAGGTTATTGGTAAAAAATTCCTACCCTGAAAGTGCATACATTTACTGATCAATAACAGTTCGTGAGACTTAAGTATTGTACAACTGAATATACTAAACGACATAACATATGATTAATCACGAGGTAGCTGTAACTATAAGTAGAATATGAAAAAGTACTAAACAGTTTTTTTTTCAGTTAATGTATTTTGAATACTTAATGATTAGGCCTACCTAATTCTAATTACATGTTTATTCACTACAACAACTAATACCTAACCGATTCTACCATCACATGATCTAATGATACAGCCTAAGTATGATGACATTGGGATGTTTGTGATGATGTGAGAATGATGACATAAGCTATCCTGTTGAGGATAAACCGAGTCACTCTCCAAATTGCAAGTTGAATCCACACATGCCATTGCCCACAGGATCAATAACACTAATTGAATCTATATTATGGAGACACAACGGTTTGATATTGTATTCGGTTTTACTAAGTAGTATCCTCGTGTCACAGCTGTATTTATTTAGCACGTTAGACAGCTGTTTCCTAACTAAGGGTAGCGTTTGGGCAAGGCGTATGAAAGGTGTGTGCATAGTGACGTCAGTGCGAGTAAAACGTGTTTTGTTTTACCAAATCATATGTTTTCTTGTAATTTTCCAAAGACTTTCGAATGACAATCATTACGAATTAGCATTGAATATATAACACCACGAATACTAGACAAATGCGCTTTTCTAGTATTCGTGTATAACACTATTTAGTTATATATAATACGAAATAATTGCGACGATATTAAGTATACATTTTGTTTTAAAATAATAAACCGTTTTCGTGTCGTGGTATGCTTATCTATCATCGCAATTATTTCGTGTTTGGGGTTTGGGCTCAATGTTCTTGTTATTTGATGCAGGTTACAAAAATGACGTTATTTAATACACATTATGGTGAAATACAAACATTTGACCAACTATGCATTGAGCCCAGTGGGTGACTCATTGTCAAACCCCAGAGCAGCCAAGCGAGGGCTAATTTAGGGGCTGGGACACCACCCGACCGTCCTAATCCTTCAGCCGCCACGAATCTTTTATTGGCTGAAAAGGACTAAGTCCTAAAACAGCCTCAGTCCAGTAGGGTTTCAGCTCTCTGGATTGGGACGTCACGAAGAACGAACGAATCTTTGCGGAAGGTATAACTACTCACTCACCCCTACCCCAGCAATGCAAATAACCGGTATCCGTAAGTTTTAGTTGGGCTAGCGACCTGTCCGCGCGCACAGAAGTTTTGGCCGAACTGTATGTTTAGTGTATGTCATTAAAGTGTTATAAAATCTCTACAACTTAAGCTATATGCCATTTTGTGCTGTTTTTGTTAAATATATGTAAATACAATCTTGCTGATTTATTTGTAACTATTTATTTTCCACTAAGGCTACTTAAATGAGAGATTTTCAATTATATAAAACATAAGTAGGAGCTGAAAAAAGGTATTATACTTAAAACTATTTGTATATTGTCACCTAAAAATAGGTTGCCTGTTAAGGCAGCCACAGTTACAATATTTACTGTTTTACTGTTTTTCGATTAAAAGGTACTCAGTATCAAAATGCTATATACTAATACTACCACCATTGAATATGCTGTATAACACTATGACTAATGACTATATTCAATATTGAATACAACACTATATTGGATATAAAACGCTAAATAGTGTTATATATTCAATGCTAATTAATTCGTAATGATTGTCATTTGAAAGTCTTTGGAAAATTAGCCTACAAGAAAACATATGATTTGGTAAAATAAAACAAGTTTTACTCGCACTGACGTCACTATGCACACACCTTGGCGTTTGGGTGTCGCAGAAAGAGATCAAACATTGACAATATTTCTAAAAATCCAAAAATTGAAAAAAATGGTAATCTTTCACTGTTAAAACGGTCGAGTTGGCCCCGAAATTTCAACCTACATTAAACATTGCAAGAAGTAGAAAACTAAAATATATTCAGTACATTACCGAGTTAACAGGAATAATAACAGTAATAGTTCGTAACCAGATTCTAAAGTTACTGTTTTAGTTTAAGGTCCAAGTCGAAGTAAAGGCAAAATTAGATGTACCTAAAACACCTCAAAAATGGAAATTAGATGGTTTGTTGAACCAAATACTTTTTCAATACTGTAAAAATACCATCGGCTATAGAAACTGCATTATTTTCTGTGGTGATAGCTGTTCTGGAACTTCTTATCAGTGGTTATGGTTTTTCTTTTTGTTGAAATTTCCTCCAAAAGACAAATGTGCTGAACTGCTGCAATACCCTGGGCACAAAGCACAGGGTAATATCACAAAATAATAAATATCACAAATTGATCGTCGTGAAATATCGAAAAATTCAAAGCAGGGAGCAAGGAAGGAAGGAAATCGGATTGCGTTTATTTACTTTTAAAGTAGGCAGTGAATTTAATTGCAAACTTGGTAAACATTTAACCGTTTCCGTCGGCTTTAATCAACGATCGCCGCTGTTAAATACAATTTTACGTCTATCAACTTTAGTGGGAGTTGATTTCAGTTATAAATATTAATTTACTATAAATAGTTACTATGAATATTAGCTGCAAATCCTAAACATGCTACGTTTTAGGATTATCTGTTTAGGTTGAAACAATTAAATTTTAGAACTGATTGCATATGAATGCTCGTAAACCCAATTTTTGAACGTAAGACTAAAAAGTACGTAAAATGAAACATACGTCAAATAACACTTGTAATAATACAATTATACTTATACTGTTGACTCTTTATACGGTAAATATATATATAAATATATGTATATGTTTATAAGAAGGTTAATTTTTGTGAGAAATGAGGTATATTTTTGTCATTATTCTAAATTAAACACATTTTCTGTAGGAAGACATCTCTTAAGATTTAATAAACAGTTTTGAACAAGAAGAGGGAAGTGGTTGGAGAATGCCTTAATGTTTCTCGAATTCTGGAACGTGACTGGGAAATATTATGTCTGGATTTCACTACAATTACATTTCCCACATTTTAGAACAGCTTTGTGACACGATGATTTGTTGAATTACTACGTCAAAATATTCAGGAAATGTTGATTCGCTGTAAAACGTATCTCGTCAATTGTGTGTCAAATTGTTGAAATGTTTAGTTTAATTATTTTCTCAAATTCTTGATACATAGCTATGAAATATGTCGTGTATCTGAAAAAGTTTCCAATAGTGTTTTTTATGTTTTCATTACGGTACTGATAATAATATAATATTATAAGGCTTTATTTTTAAAATATCTGAGATTTGAGTATCTATTATATTATTAAAGTGGTACAATCAAATTTTATGTAAACGATTAAGGTCATTTACCAAATAAAAATATAGGCATATGGCACATCAAAATGAAGCTTAGAGTGTGTAGATTTGCCGAAAAGTATTGATATGGACGAATTTCCTAAGGGCTCTGCCCCACAGGCTAATTTCCAAAGGGCTACCCCTGGCATATTTCCAAAGTTAAAATGATATAATTCAATTTAGTTCATGAAACAGCTGGTCAGTGCAATG